AAAACTCATTGAAACACCATAATTTGGACTCACTTTGTTACGTCTTTTGTGCCACGACTTTTCTCCTCTTCGATGAGTTTCTGTGCACGCTCCCTCGTATCCGCAAACGATTTATCGGTTGCTTGGATCTATAAAAAAAACATAAATTTTGCAAACGTTAATATTAGGACCAACCATCAGCACAAACCAAAACATCTGTGATTATAGAGGGGACTTGTAGTCAGTGATTTGTCATTCAAATAAAATATTCAAGATGTTAGTAAGCATTTGCTAGACAGTATAGCTGCAAAGTGATTACTTCATTACTTCACTGCTGAACGACCAATACAAGATCATCCATGAGCCACGCCTTCAATACTCAGGTGAGCTAATCAAAAATCGAATTTGAGCTTGTCGAAAAACATCAAAGAAAATCTCCGATCTGTACAGTACATTAGAAATTGTACAAACTCATAACTGTAAAATCCTAGGCAATTTCTTTTGCCATTTCGCAGGAGTTGCAGTTTCATGAAATATAACGATTTAAAGGAAATGGGAACTGCGGCTAGCTTGTTAGGGGTTCAAAAAAGAAGGAACCGTAATTCCGCGAGAACTTATGAACCCTGCATTTTCCAATTCAATTTTAGATCTCGGAAGAACGGATTCGAGACTGTCTACCTAGAGCAAATAATATTATACTCTGGAATGTCCTCAACTATCATTTATTTGGATACTCTTGCAATCCATCTCTCTTTCACTAATCGGCTATCATTCGATGTTAGCGAACAGAAATTCGTCAACGTTGAAACGGTTTTTCATAGCATAGTCGGCAATGGATCTTGTTCGGCCTACGGCTAGATAGCGATCTTCTTCGAGTGGTCTTCGTTCGAAGAATGCGATCGCGCACACTATCATTTTCCAGCAATTCCCACATCACATCATCCCTCCACTAACTTTCTCAGCCACTTTCCTAACTGCACAACACAACCGCCTATCGCTTCCTTCGATGCGACGAACGTAATTAATGGCAACCATTCCATCAAAAAACCGTAAACGAGTTCAGAGAGAGAAGTGCTACTTCCGCAAAACTACGTTGAAAAACCATCAATGCTTAAGCAGTTCATGTTATGAGAATTTCAGTTTCGGAAGTTGCGAACTGATTCGCGCTTCTCCAAAGAATCAAGACATGAGGGTAACTGGATACCCTAGTAACACAGAAACTTAACAAAGCAATTTCTTATCATCAATATTATAAGAAAATGGTTTCAGTATCGCTACCAATATTATCCCCAAATGGCTTCAGAATACTGCTTAACAGTATAACCCATATCGTGTCACCGTATCATTTGTAAAATAGAATAGTATTAAATATGGCAATTTGAAAAAAAATTGCACATTATTAGACAAATAATGAAAAAATAACAACCTTAACAAGAGCATGGCAAGTGTAACTAGCACTTACAATAAAATGAGGGGGNGGGGGAGTGGGGAAGACCAAATCTGCGCTGTATATTCGAAAAAAGTCTTTCGATGACGTTCCCTCTAGTGATCGCTATAAAACCATGAAAGGAAGGAATAGGACACCGGTAAGAATGGAAGGCAATAGACGAACCAGACTAGAATTTCCAGCTAGTAACTCGTCTATCAAAACCTGAACGAGTTGTTCTTTCCCATTGAATACTCAAGTGACTTCATTCCCTTCAGTATTGGATTGCTAATTTCCCAAAAGCAACGCGGTTTCTTCGATTTGTTTGCTCGTATTTCGAAATCAAACAAATGGACCGGCTTCAAACAAATAAGTCCCGCAAGTGAAACGTTCTCTCAATTTTTTCGCCTCTGAGACACTTTTGGACTATGAAAGAATCAAAGAGGATAACATCACAAGAGGATTCTAATTCGACTATCAAGGACTTGGCCCTCGATCTCAGCACGTCCGATGTACACCTTTACGTGACTACCCTAAGTCCAATACGTATTTTTGTCAAAATACGTAGTCAAAATACGAATGAGAAGACGCAAAAGGCAATTAAATGAATATAACGTGTTTTTCAATAAAGGTAATTTGAAACGTCGAAGTGAAGGAATGAACTAATTTACTAAGAAAAGCTAGCGGTTTTATATTGCGTTTGTAGGTTTGTTCCTCCAAGCATGGGCCGCTGAGACTACCTATTCTAGATGCTATGCACATAACAAATCCACACTCAACACTCGGGAGCACAGTCGTGGCCCTATTTCACTCATACCAGACGCTTCGTTGATACTTGTTCCTTCTTGTTTCCCATGTTTCCTACTCGGTGTTTGGCGGGTGCTAATCAGAAATCCTCTTTCGTGTGCATACGTACATTATCCCCAGCAAATCCAATAAATTCCAATAAACTACGCATCTGCCCGTAATCTCAGTTCATCCTCATCCAGTCCAGACGTTCACGCATTACGCATGCTTAACTACTTATGACAGGGTATGTAATAAAGGCGAAAGCAGAATTGATTCGCGTAGATTGAAACCCTCGAATCATTGCAAATGAATGACATTTGCCCATTTTTGGGAGCGCGAGACATAGAAAAGGTTGGGTTCATTAGCATATATCCAATAAAAATTTGCAAGAATCCTAGAAATTCACTTGGTATTTCTGATTATCTGTAAACCCTCTGAGGAGCCATTTCAACAGTGGGTAACGGTGTTTGCTTTTCCTATCCACTTTTTCCTGTACATTTTCGACTAGGCTAACTCCATCTATCAAAATCTCGCCTCTAAATAAACTTTGCTGTGCACAGTTCAAGGAAGGAGCAAAACATGGAGGCGGCTTTTGAACGACAAAGCAACATGTTAACGTTTCCGTAATGAGGGCGTCAATAAATAAAGAAAATTGAAAATACTGAAACTGACACTCACGAAAGCACCAACACTGATGAAATTTCAGTGCGTAGGTAAAGTGTTTCAAGCAAATAACCTGATATTTGCTACGAAAAGCAGCGACGGCACGATGTGTTCCGGCCCGAGGATCATGGACGACAGCATCGGTAGGGGGACCAGGCAGAGCTTGCTGTTGATAACGAAAAACTCGTCCTCCGTTAGATGGATCACCGAGTTCCCATTTACCGCCCTAGAAGCAATATGATTTAAATCTCGTTTCCATGTGAAAATGTGATTTACCCTGGTAAGACAGCTCTCACCAAAAAAAAAAGTTGTACGTGAAATCATTTACCCACCTGCTCTTCTATATGAACCCGAATCGGAAGTCCTTTTCGCTGGGCTTGCATAAGAGCCGCAACGATCTCGTCGGTGAGCTTCACCATCACCACGCTTTCGTAATCGCCGCAGTCCGACTCGAGCCTGGAATCGAAGAGATCATCATCCCATGGATTCAATCGGTAATTTGAAAACCTTTCGTAAAACTCAAAGTTCAAAAGTTAGCCCTAAATGCTTCAACCACAAGCATCTAAAGACAACTAGAAACATCCTCTTTAACGGAGCGTTAACGGAGATCAGGCACTTTCATGAATTTAACTATGCACTTCGCCGCTCAAAAAGAAGTAATAAATTTATTCAGTCATAGTAGCTACTGCAGCGGAACTACCTTGAATCCATTAAAGTACTCGAATCTTGAATAGAGCCATCTCCGATAGCCATAATGTGACTACAACTACCAGAAAAATGGGCCATTTAATGGCAGAAACATTTCGGCAGGTCATCAGCATATGCGTGCAGTACAACTCGTTCCTGGTACGATCATCGTGAAGAATAAAAATTCCCATAGTTCGTTACCACATAACCAAACGTCCATTCCACACTCGTACTCGATACGGTACGTGCACTGTATACCTCCTTTCAAATCCAAAAGACTGTGTGACGAAAAATCTTCCGAGTAAGTAAAGGGAGAGGCGGTGTAATCACTCTTTATAGTATCTCTTGCCGTTTGCCAGGAACCGGAATTCACTCACGCTTGATATGTCCTAAGCACCTGATCAGGTGAATCTTCATTTTTTCACTCTTCCAAGAAATCTTCGAAAAGTCATATATGTGGAACCACAACATTCCTCACTACGATAAACGCCAGTGCAACCCCTTTGGTCCTATTGAACACGCGGCTGCCGCTCACCATACAACTCGCATTGACGCCATCGTTGTTTGCGTATATGATTCCGTTGTATTGATTTTTCCAAAACTTGATGTAGGTCTCACAAAACTGGCTCCTTCAGTTTCAAGCAACCGAAAGATAACAAGGTCACACTATAACAACATTTCTCATGGATTGTTGTACATGACACCACCATTACCATGTAGCGGTTGCAACTTTCGAACAATTCCTAGATAGAAACTCTAACCTGTGCACATCGAGCGCTGCCTGTTCTGGCGATCCGTCGAAGCGTGGTGAAGCCATTTTTCGGCCGTCACAAGACGTTATCAACACTTCTTAGGAGAGCTAGCTGATGAGCGAGAGTGAGTGAGAGAAAGAGAGAGCGGCTCCACACGTGGGCTATTCCTCCCACGCACTTCAGTACCGCGTTTTGTTGTGTGTGAAACTCTGAAAATGAAGATCACTTTACTGGGAGTTGCGTATAAGTCGCGGAACGTGCTTCGGCGAAAATAAAGTCGACGAATACCGCGAACGGACAACGGTCAAAAGCAAAAGTATATAGGTACCACGTGCATCATATGATGTAAAAACGAAAGCCACCTTAAGACGGAAATCATGTGGGCGAGTGATACGACGAAATATCGAGAAAGTGATAAAAACAGTGATGGAAACGTGATAAACTGTAAATGGTTGTGAACGTCCGAGTTCATGCCCCGGCGCTCATTCTCGTTCAACAAGACGGAAACAAAAGAAGTAAAACGGCTTTACATCAGCAGGAAACAGTCTCATAATCGTTGCGTAATAATTAGTACGAGTTCGCAGAAATGGCCCATCAAATTTTATTCAGCAAATGTGACGCTCGAAGTAAAACAAAAATTCAATAAAAGGGAAGGTTGTATGGAGAGTAACGGTCTGTTCAGCACAGGATCCATTTAAGGTAAAGTAAGCTAAGTTATTAAAGTAATTATGACTGTAACGCTGTTACTATATTCCCTAATTAATGATGCTTGCACGGAATCAGCTGATGGAAAAAATTGACCTGGACCGTCACTAAAGAAATTCAAATTGAATAAAGACACGTTCACAACAGACTCCACAGGATAAGCATTTACAGCTAATGCGAAGAAATCCTACGAAGCCTTCATTGAAACCCTCCCTTTCGTGATGATCATAGCTTCATATAGGACCAAATATTGAGTGAGTGGAACATTCCCGAAAACCCATTCAAACGAATTTCAGAACTGAAGCGATTTTTGGTGAATTATTGAAAGTACCGTAGGCCTCACACGGTTATGGCTGAAAGGCCTAAAAGCAATTCACTGTTGAAAGTGCAGCACAAGTGAATTTAACGAAATCGTCACCACCATCACCATATGACATGCGGTAGTAAATGAAGCGCGCCGACGACGCAGCACGACGCAGCCAGCAATCACCGCCCCGACGTACCGCCGCGGCGACGGTCGGTCTCTCCTCCTCTGATAATCGAGAAACGGACAACGACACAATCGATCGCCACGATGACAACGGTAAACTCACTCGGCTACCATAACAAAACTGCTGCTGATGTACTGCAGACAAGTACTGGTGTGACAGTGCCGAGTATGGCCAAAAGATCCAGACAAAGCACTACAAGGAGTGGTTCAGATATAGAATGTTTTTTTTTT